GCATTCCTGACTGCATCTCCCTGGAGGCAGCACAGAGGTACGTAAGCACGGTATCAGATCTTTTCCACTTGATTGGACAATTACTCTGGAATCTGAAAGAAATCCAAGTAGCTCTCAGAGAACACAGCTAATTAATGTCTGGGGGCAGAGTTCCCAATGGATGAAGGCCACAGGGGCCCCCAGAGGAGGGGATCTAACTGCAGGTTTCCTCAGGCAGTTCCTCTGCCTGCCACTGTCATGTATTTATTTCTCACTTCCTGGAGGGTCACAGCCCCATGGCAATATGGCTTCCCTTTATCATACTCTTTCATCATATTATACTCTTCCGTAGCTCATGAGTCTCATTTCCATGGCCTTGAAGTCTGCAGATAGGGTGTGGGTGTCCCGGCTCCTACTCTGAGCAGGAATACTGCTCTAGTGGAAGAAGCACAGAGCTGGGCTGGGCTCGAGGCCTCCCCTGTAGGTGGAGCCTGGAATAGGAGGCAGTCACTCAGAAATGCCCTTCCATACTCATCCCATCTGCCCTCATCATTGTGGTCCAACGCTCTATTTCTGACGTGGTTCTCAGTCAAGGTGAGAGGTGGAAGCAGGATGGCAGGGGTGGAGGGCCCCAGGCATGGTGGGGGCTGAAGAACTTACATTCATAGCAGAGAAGTCTGGAGGGTACAAGGAAGACATGACCACTATCGTGGTCATTCATAGGTAGAAGGTTACTCACAGACTAGCCAGACTGCCTGCACTTGCTGCCCATCTGATCTTGGGCCAGTAACCTCTTCTGGGATCCTTCATCTGCAAAATGAACCTAGACTAATGTCCGTGGGGGTAATTAATAAATATAAAGTATTTAAAACAGTGATGTCTTCCTAGCACTTAGGGAGTGACTAGTGTTACTTTAACTATTATTATGTTTCTGTATGTTGGCACGTGTACCTCTCCATAAACTTAATCTAAATTTAAGAATTTTTATTTAATTTTTCTTCTTTAAGTAATCATTTTAATTTTTCTTTAAGTTTTGGTGAAAAACAGTATATGGCATTATCTATTTTGAGAAGAGAACCAAGCAGGATCAAACCTATACCATCCAAGTCTAATTTAAAATCAGCTCCAGGGAGGGTGAGAGAACAGCCCTTGATCATGGATCAGTCCTATTCCATGGCCTTATCACCAAGCGTTACGACCAACCTATGGTGACATTCCTGACACGCTGAGAAAATTTACAGACATCTCTTCACTTTCAGCCAGACCCAAGAAGTTAATATTGCAGTCACCACTTGCAGAGGTAAGTGCTTAGGAATATCAAGGAAACTTCCAAGAGGCCTGCTGCTAGGGGGTGTCTCCTTCCCTCTTTGCTCTCTGCTCTCTTCCTTCGGCAGTGTTGGAGGGCCTGCGCCATCACTGAGGTAGAGAAATGAGTAAGAAAGCGGCTCCTCTCCGAGGGAGGGAGGAGTGCGGAAACATGAACAAAGGCTGTCAAGGCTACCACCCCAGCAAGGCCGTGTCCTGTGGGTGGTGTCTGTGAAGGGTGCCAGTACCTCCTGCCATTGTTTGGGGCTGCTCACCCACCTAAGAATCTGTTATTCCAACATCAGCCAGTATTTAGGATTAAAACTAGTTATTATTATTACTGACCAGTCCTTTTTTATATCCTAAAAATCGTCCTACGAAAAGTGAACCCTAGTATGAGCCATGGTTTTGAGTCGTGATGACTGGTCAATGTGCATTCAGATGTAACAAAGCTTCCCTCTGATGGGGGACGCAAGCAATGGGGAGACCGTATGCATGGGGTCAGGAGAATGTAGAGATCCCTGTGCCTTCTTCTTGATTTTGCTGTGAGCCTGAAAATATACACACACACACACACACACACACACACACACAAAACACACGTCTATTAGAAATCATCTTCCATCGAGAACTTCAGAAGAAACTCCTGAGAAGGCCCTGCCCCATCAGCTTTGGTACTTTGATAATGGAAGGGTCTTCGAGGGACCTGCAGAGGGAGCGTTCGCCACCAGGCCCTGGAGTCCGGAGAGGCAGCTCCGCTGGGAGAAGTCTGAAGGAGCACGGGTGTCTGGGAGCGCAGCTGGGTCAGGACACAGGACGGAGAGGACAGAGAGAGACCAGCTCCTCTCGCCTCCTGTTCCGTTGCCCGCAGTCTGGAAAAGGCCAGGTGCTGCATCTCTCAGGTCAGCTCTGGAGACTACATCACAGAACCAGATCACAGAGTACCAACCACAGCACCCAGCTCTCTGGGGGACCCAAGTGGTCGCTTCGGTCTGGGTCAAATTTGCCTAGATTCATCAAACTGCATGTTCTGCTTATCCATCTTGATACTTTAAAACTCTCCAAATCAAGAGCTGTAAACTCATACATCTTCATGAAGCTTCGGAAAATGAACCACTGGAAACACCAGGGAGGAGGTCAGAGGCGCGGGAGAGGCTGAAACCAAGTGAGAGCAGGACACCTCCACCAGCAGGCGAGTTACCTTCTAAGACACGCTGGGCAGAAACAGACCTCCACAGAGCAGAGTGCGAATTCGGGGACGGGGCTCCCAGCATGCTGGATTCAGAACAGCAGCTCCGATCAGACAATCTGCTCAGTTTTTATTGAATTTGCTTAAGAATAGTTTAAAAGATACTGCATTTGAAGCAATACCACTGAATGTTATTCATCCTTATTTTGAAGAAAATATCTCTAAAACTGTGTGAGTACAAATGGATCAAAACCTCAAGTACTTTGTGTTTGTCACAGAGAAAAATTTTCACAAATCCTATAATTGACCTGATGTTTTGGGGAGGCCCCAAATCTGTGGGTGCTTGCCCACAATGTTTACCAATTCCAAAGAACATGCTCAGC